TGAGTCCAGCGTTTGGGTCCTCCTCTCATCCACTCAGCAACCCCTGACACATCTACTTTATTAACAAAAGATATAATTTTTTAATTGGCTCTAGTGTTTTAGTACATTTTGTTTAGATTAAAAAGTTAATTTCCTTAGCGGCATTTAACATATGGATTTTTTTCAGTACTATTAATACTTATAAACCACTTAGAAAATACCACATATAAGTAAATCAACACACTAAAATGTAATTGAAACTGAATAAATGTCCAAAGAGACCAAATTCTACTTTCAAATTTTAATTTTATTGTTATGCTGGTTTTACCTTTTGTAACCGAGGGAGAGGTCCACTAATCAATGTGTTAATGTTTTAGTTAATACAAGATTCATTTACTGTAACTAAGGGCTCATTTACTTAGACACATAACAGTAACAGTGATGACATTATAGATGAGAACAACTGATGAATGTAAACGATACACTCACTCATATAGCTACTAAAATCTCCAAACGTATTAAAGGTTAACAAAATTTCACATTCACTTTCACAAAGCAGTAAAAACAGAAATAAAGAAGTCAATATTATACATATAATTCACAATAATCAATGCATATCCCCTGTTATACTACAGATAAGTATGAATCCCTTATTCCATGAAATCATTAATGTACTTATTAGCACTTATTAGGAGTTTCCTCTGACCAAAATTCAATCCTGTCTCAGCGGCCTGGAAAGAGGTAGAAGCGCTTGGTTAGAGTGCATCTGTCTTTGGTTGGCATCTGTCTCAGTTTCTCAGAGGGAAAATCTTCAAAGCGTTGCATGACCTGTGTGATGAAAACATAACCAGTGACTGCATCTGTTTGCCTGCAGCACTATCACCAAACGAGTTTTCAGGTACTTACTTTTCTGAAGAGCTCGTCGATGTCGTCCTCATGGGAGCACGTGTTGAATACCTCCTTAATGAACTGGATCAGAAAAGACCCACGGTCTTCCTGTCTGTATGAAACAGTGTCTGCAGGAAATCATGTGAAAACAGAATGAGACTATGCTTGTGTGTTATTGGTGCAAATTTCAGATGCTTATCTCAATAATGGCAGAAACCTTTTGCATAATAAAACCCATCAGCAGACAAACTGACCTGGGGTGCTGGACAGAAGTGAAATGAAGTCCTTTTCTTTGTGCACATATCGAGCAGAGTCATCCACAATGCTGTTTTCATCAAAGTGGCTCTGTGACACATCATCACAGACCACTTTTGCACTGTCACTAACCATCACGGAGCCACCAGATTCTGCAACACACGCAGCATGCTTTTAATTCAGGTCCAAACTTTAGCTACGAGGACATTTGTAGATGTTGGTCAGATGAAATGATTGAAAGTCACCTCCTCTGCAGGCCTGGATGATGATGATCTTTGGTTTGTTTAGCAGTGCTGAGCATTTCTGTGAGCCCAAGTACTTGTAAATATTGTCAACAGGGAATTCATCTGGTTCCACTTCTTCTCTGTGATTGACACCGAGGACTATTCCCCGTTTCCCGTGAGACATAATCACCACAAACACACTGTCTGTCTCTTTGAGTTTGGGATGTTTGGAGAAATTCATCAGAGCCTCATCGATCATCTGATTGAACACAAAAAGTCCCAGCATCAGTTATTTTGTCACTCAGCCTTAATTTGCTAGGAAAGAATAAAAGATTAGTATTTAAATACCTTTCCAGTGAGATCTTTGTATTTGACCACTTCATAATGCAGAGATCGGAGAAGTTTATCCATGTTCTCCTCGTCAACTTCAGCTCCTTTTCGGGTTAATCTCTCATCAGAAAAATTTCGATTAGTGATTAGCAGGGCCACACGACTGCTGATGGACTTTTCTGCCCCAGGGTAAATCTAAAAATACAAATGTAAAGACAGAATATTTACAGTTATAAATGTAAAATTTAAGTGTATAAACTTACAAAGTATTCCAAATTTGAATCTTGTTTGTTAAAAGTGTTTGAACAGTCATGACAAACATTTTTATCGTTCAGCTTTGTCCTCCAGAAAGAGTCAGTTGTGGCGATGAGTTCGGACGACCAGCTTTGCTCCTTCTGAGACGCTGCGGCTGGAAAAAACAAAAGCACTGTTCAGACTTTATTCTGTACGGACAGACTTTATTCCTTCTTCCAAACAGGGTGAACTCACCAGGAGGCTGACCACAAGACAGACCCAGCTCAGAGTAAAGTGTAGGATCTCTCTTCTCCAGGTGTTCGATCATCTTCCTGCTAGCTTTATCTCCTTTCCTCTTCACCATGTCGATGAGAGCACGGGCCATGTCTGCTTTGTTGCTGTTGTCTTCGAGCACAGAGTCTGTCTCTCCTTCATTCAGCAAACCCTCTTCTAAAAGGTCATCCAGGAGCTGTTTAAGAAGGGCTTTTGATACCTTTTCAACAAACCGTCCTCTCACTCTGGCAAGCTCCTTATCTAGAGGGAAGAATGAGATCAAATAATCATGTCAAAATCAAAATCTATCACACATTAACACTTGGAGTGCATGAACCTTCTGTCTTACCTGCCATCTTTCATAACCTTTACTTCACAAATTTGCAACCTGTGTCCTCCAGCATGTACAAATGATTGTGTGTTTGCCAAGATGTTTTTATCTATTAATAGTTGTGTGGAAGCCACACTTCCATGGAAGTGGTTGTAATCAAGTCAAACTTGAAATGCAACATAAAATATTTTCTTTTTCTTCTGAGCAGTGGTCTCTTAGAAATGAAGTCATGACAATTATCTTTGTTTGCAAAGAACACATCTTTTATATTTTCTAAGAGTCATGTTCCTGAGCATCTCCTGCACTACTTGTGCTTTCTGTATGTTACGATTTGCAAACCTTTATGTGTGCTCATGTGTGCTGTGAAGTATTTTGGACAGCACTGCCTGATTTCCTAGGAACAAAGACATGCCAATAAGTGGTTATAGAGCAGTTAATGAAATGTAAGATGTTTTTAAATTCAAGGATCAACTAGCTTTTGCATTTGTAACATTTTTATTCAAGCCTTAACTTGTATTGAACAAGAGTTCATAAACTCTTCTTCCTGCTTTAGTGCATAGGCAAGGTGCTGCTTTCGTGACAATCTTTCTTCTTACTTTCATAGATTCATCTGCTGCACGTTAGGCATATAAACTCTCCAATCTTGCATTTATAACTTAATTTATTTTCAATTTATTTTCAGATATTTTCACGCCTAACTTACAATAAATGCATTTTGTGTATACTGAATTATGATCAAAACAGCTTGCTTTAAAAAGAAGGCAGACATAAGGAACAGGAAGTAAACGTGAAACTTGGGCTGCTGACAAAGAAAACAGAAAGATGAGATAAAAGCAGTTTACTGACAGTATCAACATTTCCGTGTCCTTTGAATTACCACAACATGTCAAGTCATGTTTGAACTTGTCTGAACATTTCAACTCTACGATGTTTTAATGGCCAATATTATACGTTAATGACAAAAAATAAAATAAAAAATAACATAGCCAGAGAAAAATCGCCATCTCTCTTCATTTCATAGAATAATTTTCTTTCCATCTACCGTTCCTTTGCTAAGTGTTTCCAATACACTGAACTATGCCTGTACGGTTGACTGCATCAAGACCACAGATATTCTTATCTATCATTGCAAGATCTCGAAGAAGAGAAACAAGTTCAGTAAGTTTCAGTTCACAAGTAATCCCCCTCCCTTCACCTGCCTTACTTGGAAGTGTCTGCTCTGGGTAACAATGAAAACATGCCTGTCTACAGGTCCTTCTCAAAAAATTAGCATATTGTGATAAAGTTCATTATTTTCTGTAATGTACTGATAAACATTAGACTTTCATATATTTTAGATTCATTACACACATCTGAATGACCCCCTTTGAACAAGCACTTAACACCAGTGGATTCTTTTTTAACAGAAAGATGTGGTGACAAGGGCAGAGATGAGAAGAACTGAGAGCAAGACACTCTGTAGGAGAGAGAGGCAGAGTGTAGTAACTACTTAAGTTAAATGCAGCAGTGGTGTATGAATCCAAAGAGAGAGAAAGGCAGTGAGTGGAAAATAAAAGCAAAGCGCATTTTATTTTTATTTTTTTGTTTTTGTATAGCATGAAAACACAGCAAGTTATGTCAGGATACTTTACATGTTACTCTAGAATAATAGAAAAAAAATAATACAAAGAAAACAGAGAAAAGCTAACAGTCATATGGACTCCTATGCAAGCAAGAGGTTTAGCGACAGTGGGAAGGAAAAACTCCCTTATAACAGGAAGAAAGCCCTAGCAGAACCAGGTTGAGGGAGGGGTGGCTATCTTCTGCGAAGATGGGGTGAAGGGAGGAAGATAGGACAAAGACATGCTGTGGAAGAAAGTATGACTGTCCCTCTCTGACCCTGTTTCTGCTAGATGTCTCTTCCAGTTCGTCCATCCAACTGTCGCCAATTGCCACATAGAGGATATTTCACTGTTGATGTGTTTTGTGTGCATGGGTCTCACATGAAGCTAGAAATGTCATCAGGTTTTTTTTTTTTAACAAAGGAGACAGACAGATGGTAGCTTTGTTTCATTCTTTTTAAATTTTTATTATCATTGTATTTTCCATCTGTTTGTAGCTATTTTGCATCTTATTGTGGCCATTTTTGTCTAACTGTGAGATCATATCATCTTTTTGCATTTACTTTGTTTCTAGGTTTGCATCTCTTTGTAGTTCTTTGGAAATTACAAAATGACCTAACTTTGAGCACTAAAAACATCAATTGAAATGGCAGCAAAGTTGAGGTAACTGTAAAAATATCTCAGAGGCCTGGAAAGAAGTAGAAGCGTCTTGTCAGTGTGCATCTGTCTTTTGTTGGCATCTGTCTCCTGTTTTGAGCCTCAAAGTCTTCAAAGCGTTGCATCACCTATATGATATAAATGATGTACGACATTATCACAGTAATAATGTATAACATTATCACACTAATGACACGAGAACAAAGTAATTACTGCTTGACTATAGCAATACAACTTTCCACATGTACCAGAAACATAAGTGACAGATATGGCACTCATTGATTCCTGTAAGCGTAACTTCCAGGAGATGAAAAATGCGTTGAAAACCTTCTTTTGGGCCATACTCTGCAAACTTTTCAACCTTTTATTATTTTACTTTTAATACTGTACATGCACTATTTCCCAGTGATAATTGAAGTGTAATTTAAATACTGCTTTAAAGTAACTGTCCACATAAATGTCACAAGCAGTATCAACATGGTTGTGAAGTAATGAGACTTGCTTCCAAGAAGTATAAAACAATTTACACTTGCAGCGCTTACTTTTCTAAAGAGCTCCTCGATGTCGTCTTGATATGCAAAGGTGTTGAAAACCTGAACAATGTACTGTATGAGGATAGACCCTTGATTCCTGTCTCTATATGACACAGTATCTGCAGGAAGAAAATTCAGAGACAGAAATTGGATACAGTTTTTTTTTGAGGGGGGGTGGGGGTGTTATCATTACAGCTTCATGTGTGTCATCACTGTGTGTGTCACTAAGTTTTAATTATTGCCTAGCTACACTGACCTGGAGTGCAGGAGAGAAGAGAAATGAAGTCTTTTTCCTTGTGTACACATCGTAGAGTGTCGTCTTCTAAGCCCTCTTCATCAGCACACAGGGATGGACTTGGCTGTTTCAAGTCATCACAGACCAGATCTGGCTTTGCACAGTCACTAACAAGCACAGCTCCTCTCTCCTCTGAAACACATTCAATGTACTTGTAAGTTAAGAAGACTCCAGCAAATCTATAACTCAATCCTTTTTTTTTGTAACTGTAAGAACAGAAGGTGATCACCTCCTCTGCAGGCCTGGATGATGATGATCTTGGGTTTGTTCAGAAGTGCAGGACACTTGTCTGAGCTCAACTGCTTGTAAATGTTGTTCACCTCACACGCATCTTGTTCCTCATTATCACAAAGGGGTTCTTTGCAGTCGACACCAAGGACTGCTCCTAGCTTCCCGTGAGACATTATAACCACCAACACACTGTCTGTATCTTTGAGTTTTGGATGTTTGGAGAAGTAAATTAGAGCCTTATTAATTTCCTGTAAGAACGTAACAAAAAAAAGTCAAGGCATAACTTACTGTATCTCAAAACAAACCAGACATAAAATTTTTTCCCCCAGATTTTCCCTTTTAATAAAAATACCTTTCCCGTGAGATTTGTGTATTTCACCACTTCATAACCCAGAGCAGAGAGCAGCTTCCTCATGTTCTCCTCATCTTTCTCAGCTCCATTTCTATTGAATTTCCCATCAGTAAACTTTATGTTAGTGATCAGCAGAGCTACGCGATTTTTAAAGGCGTCTTTGGTCACATGGTAAATCTGGAAAACAAAAATAAAGGGAAAAAAGTTGAAAAATCTATCTTGTGTCTCAACATTAACTTTAATAAGAAAACACTTTATTTCTTATTATCAAACTGAGATATTTTACATGAGTTTTGTGAATGACTCACACTTTTATCATCCATTTTCATCTTCCAGAATTGCTCAGTCGTGTGGATCAGTGTATTTGACCATTCCGGCGGCTTCCGAGGATCTGGAGCTGGGGCTGACAAAACAGATTATTGCTTGAAATAATGTATTTTATTCTGTTTGTACCTATGTGATCATTACATTATCTTATGCACTATATTTTTTAATAAAAATATTTTTCAGGTTTCTCACCTGCCTCAGAAGGCTGACTGCAAGACAAACCAAGCTTTTCGTAAAGTGAAGAGTCTCTACTTTTAAGGTGAACGATCATCTTGCTGCTGGCTGTGTCTCCTTTTTTCTTAACAATGTCGATGAGACAGCGCGCCTTATCAACTCTGCTGTCATTCTCTTCCAGTATGGACTCGCTCTCCATATCATTCAGCACACCATCTCCTACGAGGTCGTCAAGCAGCAGCTTTATAACCGCTTTGGACACACTCGTCACAAAGTCTGACCGTACCCTGCCAAGCTCCTTATCTAGAATAGAGAATATGTCATTTTAGAAATGTTTAGAAAGATTGCTGACCTTTGAAAACTTTTCGTCTCAAACCAAGTGGGCGATGTATACATTTTGATGTTTTTATTTAATATATTTTATTTAATATATCGAATACCCTTCACTTTGTGGTGGGGAGCAGTAACGCATAACACATGTCAGCATCACTACAAACTGTGGTTTTCACAATGACTCTAAAAGTTGAATAGTCTTTTTTTAAAATTAAAAGCAAACTGTTGCATCTTCAAAAAATAAAAATAAAATAACTGAGCCTTACAATGGAGTATCGTTGCAAGTGGTTTACTGAACCTTCTTTTCAGGGCATGTACAGAACATCAGTATCCATTTTCTACTGTCTCCTACAGGACACACCCTTCTTTCACTTTCTTACAACATTAATGTAACACAGAACCAATACTGCATTACCATTGTAACAACACACTCATTCTATTTCTTTCAGATGAATAACAGGAACTTGGATGTTGGTATCTATGAATAATAACTATTATGCATACTCTTATATTTATATAACCAACTAATTTCTTGCGATACCACACAAACATTGTGATCTATGTACAGATTTATTGCTTTGTAACAAAGTAAAATATATTAGTTGTATCTAATAATCTGGCATCTTAATGCAGTTAACGGTGAAAGACCCACATTTACAGAATGATCCCCTGAGAGATTAGCGCGAATCTACAACATTTCATGTGCATGAATCACTTCAGCATTTCTAACGCTGGTCCCGTATAAAGAGTGAATGTTTACGCACGTAGGACTCCCTGCCCTGTTATAGTAACGCCTGGTGTTCTTCGGATTGACGGAGGAAATGGCTGATATGTCCTTTTTCCTCATAAAGTGCAGAGTAAAAACGAAGCTACTGTTTTAGTGCATAACGAAACCATTACCGATGCCTGTCGTCAACATACAAATTTGGATATTTTAATAAAAAACAAACAAAACAAAACAAACTCTATATGCTATCCTGTCGCACTTTGGAAATGTGTGACCTCCCATCTTTAGAAGTTGTACTTCCGTGGATTCAGTGTGTATACATAACGCAAATAGTTGTCAACAAAGAAACTTAAACGCTCGCTCTCTCATCTCTGAAACCCTTCCACTAGACGATTTTTTCAACAACAGACATCCGGGCGGGAATAGTTTTCCGCGGTGCAAAACGAAAGTATTGATCCAACCTGGCATAAACATGAATGAAAATAACAAATGTCGAATCGCACTATTCAAACTTTTGTCTGAAAAACACTTTTGTTGCAAAACTGTCGAAAGTGTAAGAATACATATTTTCCGCCGCTGTCTTCCGCAAAACGTTCGTAACACAGTGCAGTAGTGGTAAACACTTTATGCCTATTGTGCTGCATTCCTGCTCGCTGGCTAAACTCATGTATGACAACGTAGAACAAAATGCATTTAGTCTCTTACCTGCCATTGCTCAAAACTTGTGTGGCCAACCTGCTTAAATTGCTGCGGACTATAACCTGATTATGCTTGCATAATGTTTGCTATCAGAGATGAACGATAAAAGGCTCCTCCTTTCCGCATATGACCTACATAGTAGTACCGCGCAGTGCATAAATATGTTTAAAAGTCAAAGCAGGCCTGTGGTGCTCCTACTTTGATATGAGTAACCCGGATTATTAAACTGTAATTTATAATGGTTAAAACATAAACAAAAAACCCTCATGCGCTATAAAGGTCCACATGTCATTGTACATGCAAATTAATCACACTATATAATAAACACACAAGCTCATTTACTGTCGTTGAGATTTAATTCAACTAGATTATAAAGTGATCTTAATGTAAACAGATTGTAATTTCTGTAATTCTCATCCATCACATGCAAAAAATAATGTACAGAGGAACCTGGAACCATTACAGTTTTATTTTCATGGACATTTGAAAGCACAAATAGATTGTTTTTATGATTGTCACGTCGGCAAAATATAAAAGCATCATATAATAGTGCTCTAGAGTGTAAAAAAATATTAAGATACAGTATTATATCTTTAGATGTGATCATTCATGTTGATATTATTGCTTTGAAAAGTAATGATGATGAAAGATGAGCATGTTCACTCCACATTTCTTTATTTCACAAAGTCTCGGCAGTAGGGATGAGTGTTCACAAGGTTTTCGTTTCCTCCTGTGGATAAAAACATAAATACCAAAAATCAGGTAACGGTTAAAAAAAAAACATGGTGCCAAACAACAATGCGTAGAGATTAAACATAACCTAAGAGGCATCAACTAAAGTCAAAGCCTGATAGATCCTATTTCTGTATTTCAGTGTCAAAGTACAACATCAGTTTGTGACACTATGTCGTGAAATCAGGGTTAAAGCCTCCTTTTGCTCATATGTGTTGATAAGCTCCACTGATGTATCCCATCTCACCTGGTCAGACAATCAGACCCAGCTCAGCGAAAAGCAAAGGATCTCTTCTTTGAAGGTGACTAATCAACTTGTTGCTGGCTAGATCTCCTTTTTTTCTCACAGTGTCAATGAGGCAGCGCGCCTTGTCGGCTCGGTTCTTGTTCTCCTCAACTATTGACTCTCTCTCTCCATCATTCAAGATGCCATCCTCCAAAATGTCATCCAGGAGCTGGTCAAGAAGAGGTTTGGAGGTCTTTTCAACAAACTTACTTCTCACCCGCACAAGCAGGGAGCTTGCGCTTTCTAGGAGAAAGAAAATCCCATTTATCAGGTTTAAGAGGATTCAACACAAACTCACGTAACAACTTGAATAATTTGCTCTCATTTTGACTTCTTAAGGTGACTTCAAGTGGTAAAAAAAAATTAGTCAACACGCTTGTACACAAATTGAAACACATCTGTCATTTAGAAAGCTCAGTTCTCAGCTGTCTGACCAGTGTTTGTTTGAATTTATTGGAAAACTGCGAGTTAAACTACAGAATCATTCAGAACTGAGCGGTGATCTCTTTATAAAGCTCTGTTTGGTTTGCATTAGATTTTACAGGTGTACCTGATTTGAGATTTAATTAGTATTTTAGTGCTGCATATTAAAAGCACTCCAGTGGCGTGCTTTCCATCTGAAAACACAAGATATTTCTAAAAATATTTCCTTTTCGAGATAAATGCAGCTAATCTATAACTAAATATAACTTTTAAAATCTGTGTTGATATATTCTGGCCAGTGATCTTCATCCGGCGCTGTGTGGATATGTAAACCGAATATTTAAAAAAAGAAACAAAGAAAAGTGGGTGCGGCAGTACAAAAGTGAAACTACAAACGATTTTACGCTGAAAAAAGGAGGGAAAAGAATACAAATTTTAAAAAAAAAGCAGAACAATTAACAGTATCACGTCATTTCCTCGAAGGGCATCATTTAGGCGAATGCGTTTTGTGAAAACACAATCTCTGCGGATACTAAACAGGATTTAGATCGAAGGAGGATCTCCTTTGCTTTTCACTCTGCAGCTGTGCCAAAAAATGACAGCAGAGCTTTTAACCGGTGGTTTGCCTTACTACCAGGTCAAGTTTGATTTCATCCTAACTGAGCTCTGGCAACGAATAATTAATGACTAAGAGAGAAAAAAGGAAGTTTTCAATTATCAGTCAGATCCGTGTTTATCGCTATAGCCATTCTCCAACTTCCTCAACCCGTGCTGCTTGTTTGTATTAATTGCGTGTGATTTAAAACTTCAGTTATGTGTTCACATTTGAATAGCTACAACTTGCTTTAAATGACAAATCGCCTTACCTGCCATTGCGCTAGAACCTCAAATCACTCGAGTTAACCTCCAGACAGATGAGCGGCGTTCTAGCACGCATAGGTATAGTACGAGTCAATACAACTTCTTTCGAGTGCTTTTTTTTGCCTCAAGAGGTCGCCAAAGCCTAGCGTTCTTCCTCACATAAAAACCGATTGCGCCTCTACGTTACATTTTGCATCCGGTCACATCCCTACCTTTCTACTGGTACCTACGAGTCATAAATGCAGCATATACACTGACCACTTCATTTGGTACACACAAAGCACAAAGCATATAGACACAAAGCACAAATTATTTATACTCATGGGAAAAAGAAGATTTTCACAAGACTACTCACAGTACACCCTTACTTCCATATGAATTCAGAGGATATGTAGCAGTCAGGTGCTCTTAATCAGATTCACAGAAGGGAAGTTATGAACTGTTTCTGAGAGACAAATAACACCAGGATCCTTTTCTACATAGCTGACAACTGTGCAGGGGCGGGTCTAGCAACGTTTTGCCAGGGGGCCAGGTAGAGCATTAACAGGGAAAGAGGGGCACAAAGAAATTGACCCTGTGCACGAGAAAATGCTAACTTCCTGGTTTGAGACAGGATGTGGGGTTGTACATTTCCGGTAGCTTTACTTTGCGGTCAATCGCTACTGCGAAGATATACTCCAAAATCATGTCCAAAACTCGAAAACGGAAAGATCGCGTTAAGTTACAAAGAGCAGAAGGTGGGAACACTCACCACTGTTGTGTCATAAAAAATCTAATGATCAATTTTGACGTTTAAAGAGTTTAGATCGATCAGTTGTTTACATCACTCAACACAAGCAGAACTGCATCACTGCATGCAGGAGACACATCGTCCACATTCAGAAGCACATCTCTGTATAGTGACTGGTCTTATGATTTAAACAGGCAAATGTTCAGCATTCAAACTACAGGTGAAGAATAGTCAAACCAGATGTTTCCCCGTTATGTCGAGATCAGCTAGTCAAGTACACACCTACACAGCATGTTAACAAACCGTGAAAAAAGCCACACAAAAAATGAATGATTGCTGGTAAGGGTTTCTATACATTAGTATTTATGAAGAGTATGTTGTGACTTACCTTAAAAATTACAGCGGTCCCTCGCTAATAACGAGGTTCACCTTTCACCTCGCTGTTTCACGGATTTTTTAGTGCAAGTTTGCATGCTTATTTTACATCACATTGTGTCCTGCGTCCTGATCGCTGCAGACGATCTCCGTGCCGTCTCTCCTGTACAGTACAGAATCGCTGCATCGATCGCTAGCAGTGTGACTCTGAAATGCAGTGCTGTATGTCCACGATGTCCACGAAACGTTTTGCACGGTCAAAAAAATAAAATTGGCTACTTGATTTCACCTATCACTGGTTATTTTTAGAACATAACACCCGCAATAAACGAAGGACAGCTGAGAAATCTAACATTTGAATCCATTTTCTCCTTTGCTCTGAGGCGCGGGGAAAAAATATCGACAAGTCGATGAACATCATTTACAGATATATTGGGTAAATGCCCAAGACATCTATAGAAATGTAAATTGCCGCTTGATTCATTCATTTGCTTAACTTGTTTTGGACCGTAAACCAGGCGCGAATAGGACACCGGAAACAAAGCTCCCCACAGGAGTTTCCGCACCGGAAGTAGCATATGCTAACGTGCACATAGTCAATACTTCTCTTTCTTATTCTCATTATTCTCTGAATCTTACAACCAAAGTGGTCATCTGATGTAAAATGTATAGAAATCACACACCACCACCCCAATTGTTATTGATCCTTTTACCTTAATTTTAAAGTGTATATTTGTACCCTTTACCTTTGTCTTGTAATGTTCCTGGGTCTGTTGACCCAGCGTTTTGAGTTTTAGTTTATTTGGATGTTATGTTTAAGTTCTTTAGGGTAGCTAAGTTAATTTGTTTATTAGATTCCCTTTGTGTTTTCTACCCCTGTATTTAAGTTTCCCTCTCCCTTTATGTGTTTCATACTGCGTGTCTTATGTTGTCAAATTTATATTGTCATGTCTGCGTCTCAAGTTTCCTGTTTTATTTTGAAGGTCTGTGTCCTATGTCAGTTTAGTCAGCTTTGCTTCCTTTGTCTCGTTATGTCAGACTAGTATTTGCTGTTTCCCCATGTGTTTCCACTTCCCCTAATCACCCTTGAGTGTACTTAAGCTGTGTGTTTCTGTTCATTCTTTGTCAGGTCATCTGTTGTTTACGTCATGTTCTCCATGCCATGTTTCCAAGTTTCATGTCGTTTGTTTAGTTCTCCCAGTTTAGTTTAATATTAGTATTATTTCAGCTTGCCTTGCCCTTTGTTTGTACCTTTTTAAAAAAATTTTTTTACCAGCCTCATTAAACTGCTCGCTTTTTGTTAATTCAAGTTTTGTTCCACATTCCATTTTGTCTGAATTTTGGGTCCTCTCCGTCAAATTCAGAACAACCTGACCAGTATGGATCCAGCGGACATCTGTGAGGATTTTTGTGAGTTCAGCACTCGTGTGACCATTCTCCCTGGACAGTGGAAAATCTACTCCACTGTCCATGGACAATGGCATACTTGACGTTGACGTTTGCTGCGTGGGTTGCTTTACAGTCACAGGTGTACAGGCGTGCCGTAGGAGGATCTGTTGCTGAGGGGCAGTCGGGGTGGGGGTGGGCCCAGTCACAATGATTGAGACTGGTTGGTAAGGAAGTCTTTGATTCAGGAGCAGGTGGCAGGGGGAATCTGAAGGTGGTTCATTTTGGTGCTGAGGATGTTTGGAATTATGGTTTTACATGCTGAGTTGTAG